CAGAGTTTCTGAAGCAGGATGAAACTTATGACAAACGCAGTGGAAGGTGAGCAGGGTTTAGTCTGAACTTGCCGTCTCAAGGAGGAAGCTGCTAGCAAGAAGCCTTAGAGGGGAACAAAGGCTCTAGAAACTTGGTACGAAGAAGTAACCCATGGAATAGCTCAGGAGAGGAGCAATTTAACAATCTAGGGAGCCAGGATGGAGACACAGATGGCATCTTACAAGAACCTGAGGAGACTAGAGGCTGGCTGGAGTCCTAACACAGGGGTAACACTCTGGGTGTTAAATGCTGGCAGTGAGCTACTTATAAGCCTCTCCCTTAATAAGTTTAGATGGAAAAGACCTGTGTTCCTCCACCAACCTGCTCCCAAGGTCAAAAAAATCAGAAATAAATAATTAATTCACTCAATCCTTGTTAAGCCTGTCAGTGCAGGTCCCACACAGACAAAAAAAACCCACACACATTAGAAGATTTTACTGCCATCTTGCTGTCAAAGCTCAGCCAGCCCAGATCCAGCTTTAGTCCTGCATACAGAGGACTAAATGAAAAGGAACTATTTTAAGACACAAACTATGCAGTTGTTTTGGTCTGTAGGCTTTAGAGGAGAAACCAGGAGCATGAACATGATTTAAAACAGAGCAGAAACTGTGAGTCTGAGAGCAGTGTCTACAATCTACAAACAACCCCATCTAAGGCTCCTGAACAAACTCTCAACATCTAAACTCGTCTGCAATTAGTGTGTGTATATTTCAGATGCAGACTGAAACTAATGCAGCTTTAATGGCCACATTAGTTTGTTGCTGCAGCTGAACTGTTGGAAGAAATGCTGATAAGCAAATAAGCTCATTAGACAGCTATAAATCTCATAGCACACATACACACAGGCATAGGCCAAACTCTACCTGCATGCTTTCTCTCTTCTCTTCCTGCATCAGGAAACACACCTCACTCTCCAGCAGGTTTGGCTCATCTCATCAATTTTACATACTCTACCTCTGCATGCAATGAAACCAGCTGTATATTTTTCATCGCTCTGTGTCATTCAAGGCTTTTCTGTTCTGACTAATATAGTACCGCTGCGGTCGAGGCAGCGGCCTAATGAGACCCAGTGCTCCCACGGATAGTGATAGTAAAAAGATGAGCGGCCTTAATGGTCACAAGCAGTGTAATAGGAAATACAGAGCGCCAATAATGTGAGCGAAGGTGGAGGTTTAAATTACAGCAGGAGTGGCTGCTGCTGCTGCTGCAGGATGGAGGTTACTCTAAAGAATGAAAACAAAGAAGGTTTTTCAGGTTTAGTTCTAAGCTCCAATTAGTGTTTAAGTCTGATTGGTTAAAAATAAAAATAAACTGTTTTTATAAAAACTACCTTGTGATTTAGCCGTGCACTTAGCCTTTCCATCAAAGTGGCCCTGCCTGATTCTGCAGATTGGTACTCATTAACCTGCTTCATCATCTGCAGCTTTATTTGTAAAGTGCTTCAACAGCAAATAGCTAACTATCAAGGATAAATATGATGAGAGAAAACATCCAATAAAAGGACAAAGCTAAGCACACAATAATTGTCCATTTAATGCATAATGAAACCCAGAAATAAAACAGATCAAATGAATATGATAAAAAGCTTAGTAAATCATTTTTTTTTTTTTTTTTTCGTTTTGGTTTAGGCTGGTTATAAAACTGGACAGTGATAAAGGCAGATCACTAAAGTAGGGCCCCTAAAAAAGATCCCTTTCCAGGTGGTTAATTGGAAGCAATGATTTTTAACTCCAAAACAAGGAGCTGAGGGGTTAAAGAACTGAATACCTTTAATTTGTGTTTATATTAGTCCTGCTGCTGAAAAACTCTCAACTAAACCTATTCTTTTACTGCTTAGCACCATCCATCCTGCTGTTCTGGTTCTGTTTTAGTCCACTAGGGGGCGCACTATTCAAACAAAGGACTTGAGTAATTAAATTAGCAGCAACCGTAGTTGTCAGCAAGCATATGGCAACAGTGGAATGAATCATCTGCCTTTCAAAATGTTTCAGTATAGCTGGCTAAAGCCTCTGAATCTGCATCATGGCTGTTCATGGCTTAATGTGAACACAGTGGGCTGAGTGCAGATAAGTAAGGAAACATGCATCGGTGGAGGACTGACCAGCAGCATGAGGACATGCCTGGCCCTTTCTGCAATGCCCTCCAAGACTTTTCATCAGAGCAATGGACCATGCAGGCCATGAGAGCACACCTTGTTGGGCAATGTATTTCTTTCATGGTCATTCAACAGCAGAGACACCGAGGGGGGGCTGGAGCTCCAGTGTTCATCTGCTCATCCCAGTTTATCTGGTGTTTCCTAACAGAGAACAAAAAGCTGAAAATCTGCAGCAAAGATTCACTTTTATTGAGAGATTCAGAAGAAAATACATTTATTTAAAGCTGAACCTATATTTTTGAAATGCATTTGATCAACAACTTTCAATAAATTATTAATAGTTATTCATCAAAATTAAATCAAAGGAAAAAAAACAGTATAGTAGCTGAAATGTTTGTAAATTTTGTGGATAGATGCTGACAACCTGGCCAGACTGTTTTTGCAATCTTCTATTAATGCTTTGAACGAATGCATCCTAATTAATAATCTGCTGAAATCAGAGCCTTGATTTGGAATTGGACAACAGAATGGCTAGATGTACGATAAGG